AGGGTGTTTCCTTTTTGTTTTGGAAAAATGACTTTGACGATAAAAGTGAGAGCGAGAGAGAGCCTGTTGCCACAGTATTATGAAAGAGTGTCATGTGCCAGTATTTGGAGCGAGAAAGAGAAGAGTCACAGTATTCATCTATGACATGTGTTTGCTCCTTGAAAATAAGTTTGTGAATAAACCAGAAAAAAGAAGCTACTGTCACTATTTTTATGTCTCACCTCCCCATGAAAGCTTGTAACATGTGGTCTACAACCGGAATCTCATTTAAATCCCATGTGGAAGTAATTTCCTAACAGAAGTACTTTAGATATTTTGCTGTTGTTTATTTATTTATTTTTTAGGTTATTTAGCTTTCATTAGGCAGCTTTGCCAAGCAAACTCTTGCTAAATGAAGGGCTCGTTTTGGCATGAGATGCCCAGAGAGAGGCCTTTGGCATGTGGCGCTCCCCCAAGCTAGCAGTTGGCTGCTTAGCACTACGGGTCATGTGGGAGGAGCCGTCTGGGCGGGGAAGGCCATGTCTGCTCAGGGCTTTCTGCTCTTACTCAGTCCTCCCTGGTATGATGCCTTTTATCATCATTGCTATGGAACAAAGGAGTCTATTTTGTTTTGATTACATGATAGCAAAAGATCAACTCCTTTGACCAGAGATAAAAATGTGAAGGTATATGACCAGCTTTTATAATTCTCAAATATGTTTCATAAACAGGTCGTTTCATTGAAGACTGTTAAAATGTGCAATCCCCTTTCACCGGCTACTACTACTTTCCAGGGCTCAGATCAGATAGATTGACAATAACATAAACTAAATGACATATTCTGTGGAAATCATCCGATGTCCTTGTGAATCCCCACCCAGAGAGAAGAGTTTTCCTTTATGACAAATGGCAGTGGCGGTTTTTGTGACATGATTAGACTTGACAGAATATAATATCAATATTTGGGACACCAATTCAAGGAAGATTTAGGGAGAATTTTTAAAACAAACAAACAAAAAAATAGATTGTCTTAAGGGCAACTCAAAACCAAACTCACTGCCATCGAGTCAATGCCAGCTCTCGGTGACCCTCCTGTGACTCTCCAAGACTGCACCTCTTTATGGGAGTAGAAAGCCTCATCTTTATTTCAAGGAGTGGCTGGTGGTTTAGAACTGCTGATCTTGAGGTTGGTAGCTCAACATGTAACTGCTATGCCATTAGGGCAGCTCTTCATGGTAAGCCCTCCAAATTTTTAATCAAAATTTAATTGTTAAATTTCAGCAGAATGTTCCTTCTCAACTAGAGATTGGTATCATCAGGATCCCTAAAATATTAAATGGTCATGACGAACAGTAAGAAGTTGGATCGGCAAGTGCTTATTTTTATTTTAAATACCTACTTCTTTACAGTCTAAACTTTCTTAGCAGATATTCGTCAACTGGGCCCTTTAAAATCTTGCCTTCTTGATATTTAGCCAAATAACCAAAATCATGTTTTCTGTTCCCCCAGATAACAATTTGTAAAACTGAAGCCTGTGCTTAGGCGGATCCTTTCCGTTTGCCACATCCCCACAGCCTTCCACATCTCTGCCTCTTCTACATATTTTGTTTGCTTGTAAGCATTGAGTTAGAGACCCCTCAGTATATCGTCTCACCGGATAGCCTTTTGTCCTACTGCCGTAGTGGCTTGCATGTGGCTACGATGCTGGGAGCTGTGCCACTAGTATTTCAAATGCCAGCAGGGCCACCCATGGTAAACAGGTTTCCGTGGAGCTTCCAGACCAAGACAGACCAGTGGAAGGATGTCATGCCTGGCCATCTACTTTTGGAAATGAGCCAGTGACAACCCAGTGGATCACAGCGGAGCGTTGCCCGATCTGGTGCCCGCAGATGAGCGCCGTGATTGGAAGGCGCCCAGAGTACCATGGCTGCGCCGGTGGCCCCACTGCTGCCGGCTGTGTTTCTGTTGAAGTTGCGTCGGTGCTGTGCACCAGTTAGCTTTTGGCCCGAGTGTGCTGCAGTGCCAACCCCCAGATCTCGGGCTTATGAGGGTCACGTTGACTTCGCACCCACATTGCACCCCGTGCTTGCTGGCAGGTGGCTGTGCGCCTGGCCTGCTCCGTGCCTCCTCGCGGGACCTTGGCCGAAGGGGGCGGCCCCTGTGCGGAACATGTCGTTCTTCCAGAACAGGGCTCGCAAACCTTTGAGACGGAAGAGCCAATCCTGCCCCTCGCTACAATTTAATTATTTGAGAGCCATGAATCTTACTTGTTTTACAAACAAATGACTTCACCATGATCTGAATAATAGAGCCTTTACATGAACCGATGATATTTTCATTTTCAATTTTGTTTCAGAGTGACACGTACATACCGAAAGAGCCCCATAGGGCGCTCCAACGAGTCTGCTATCCCCTGGGCTAGCAGGAAGAAGAGAGCCAACTAGCATACAGGGGGCTGGGGGCTGGGGGGGAGATGAACCATTCAAATGGCAGTACCGCGTCAGTGGGCTGGGGAAGGGCCTCTCAGCGGAAGTGCTGCTGTCAAGGATCCGCAGGCAAGGAGCCCTGCCCATTGGCGAGTCAGTCATTGAGTATGGTAATATGATCAGCCACAGCCCATGCGTGAAAGCGAGAGAGC